TTCTCGCCAACAATGTATGTTTATATTGTGGCTATATACAGTAAAACAAAATCAAGATGTTACTCAGCAGTATTATTAAACTTACCTGGCACTGATTTATATAGAGACATGTTAGGTCAGATGGCCAAATGCCTAGGTCAAAGTGGTTAAGTTTCGGTAGTGAATTAAATTTGGAGTGTGAGGTTGAGTGGCAGACAGGTTTTGGGAGGGAATTCCACACATCAGTGTCTTGGTCTCTTAAAACCTGAGTAATGGAAAACAGGGATAACAAGGTGTAGAGCTGGATGAACACAGTAGGCCAAGCAGCATCACAGGAGCAGGAAGGCTGACGTTTCGGGCCTAGACCCTTCATCAGAAATGGGGGAGGGGAAGGGGGTTCTGAAATAAATAGGGAGAGAGGCGGAGGCGGATAGAAGAGAAGATAGGTGGAGAACAGACAGGTCAAAGAGGTGGGGATGGACTAAGAAAGGTGATGTGGCTGTAGTACCTGGTTTGCTTCAGGACATGGTCGAGCAGTTTCAAGGCCGAAGAGATTACGAGAGAGTTGCAGTGGGAGAGAGATCCCCTGAGGTTTGTCCGGAGGGAGGAGGGTAACTTCTTCAGGCTAGGCATCCTTAGAAGAGGCTTCGCAGTGGGGTTAACATTGTATCAGAGATAGTAGGAACTGCAGATGCTGTAGAATCTGATATAACAAGGTGTAGAGCTGGATAAACACAGCAGGCCAAGCAGCATCATAGGAGCAGGAAGGCTGACATTTCTCTCTCCCACTGCAACTTTCTCGTAATCTCCTCGGCCTTGAAACTGCTCGACCATGTCCTGAAGCAAACCAGGTACTACAGCCACATCACCTTTCTTAGTCCATTCCCGCCTCTTTGACCTGTCTGTTTCCTCTCCACCTATCTTCTCCTCTATCCATCTTCTATCCGCCTCCTCCTCTCTCCCTATTTATTTCAGAACCCCCTTCCCCTCCCCCATTTCTGATGAAGTGTCTAGGCCCGAAACGTCAGCCTTCCTGCTCCTCTGATGCTGCTTGGCCTGCTGTGTTCATCCAGCTCTACACCTTGTTATCTCAGATTCTCCAGCATCTGCAGTTCCTACTATCTCTAATGGAAAACAGGAATGCCTAAGATACAATAGTGCAGATATCTTGGAGGGTTAGAAGGCTAGCAAGCCTGAGACAAAGATATCAGCCAGGGAACATGGTGGTGTGTTGAAATGGCAGGCAACTGGAAGCTCAGAGTCATTTCTGCAGACAGAATACAGGTGTTCTGCAAAGTGGTCACCCAGTCTGCGTTTCATCTGGACAGTGTACAGAGACCACATTGTGAGCAGCGAATACAAAAGACTGGATTGAATGAAGTGCAGGTAAAGCACTGCTTCATCTGGAAGGTGTGTCTGGACTCTTCAATAGTGACAAGGGAGCGAGTAAATAGGCCAGTATTGCACCTTTTGTGATTGCAAAAGAGGGTGCAGTGGGGATGGGGGGAGGTGCTGGGAGTGGAGCCATTCCGGAAGGTATGGTCTCTACAGAAGGCCGACAAGGGAGGGTAGGGGAATATGTGTCTGATAGTGGCATCCCACTGGAGGTGGCAGAAATGGCAGCTAATGATCCTTTGGATATGGATGCTGATGGGATGGTAGATGAGGACGAGGGAGATCTTATCACTGTTGTGAGAGGGGAGAGATGAGGGTGAGGGCCAAAGAGTGGAAGATTGACTCTCAGTGCCATGTGTCTCCATATGCACTCTCTCTCTCTCTTTCTCCATCAGCACCACCTCACGCTACCTCAGACCTGCCCCATTCCCCAGTTCCACTTCATTCTGTGGTTCATTCAGTGTTCTAACAAGAAACTTTTCGTTTTACTTTCAGGCATTCTGCTCACTGGTGCTAAATGTTTTGTTTTCAGCAAAGGTCTTAGTTTTATCCCTCTGCATCCCCACCTCAATAAATTTTGGGCACAAAATGATGCTGAACTCTTCTTCCATTGCCTACATGTCTGTGCCCATTTCTTTGGACAAGAGCTCTCTCCCTGTTCCACAGACCCCCTTCACCCACCTCCAACACTCTTCCTCCACCTGGATGTACCCGCCTTGGCCGTTTGCCTGAACTTGACCTGTTCATTGAATACTGTTGGTGTGACAATGGTTGCATCAGTTTCACAGCTCCGATTATCCATTCGTAACCATCTCCCTCAGAATTGTCTGCACTCGGTGCTCTCAGATTCAACCCTGACTCAGTGATCAAGCCTGCCGAAAAAGTTAAGATTGGATCTAAGAGCACGGCGTCAGAACAGTCAGTTCAGGTGGAGATGGGTTGGAATGGGTATAGATGGGGGATGTGGGGGCCTGATAAATTGAGGCAACTAATGCCACATCAACAGTTTTCAATGAATAGGTTGACTACAGCTCATCACCACAATTGCTTCTTTGATATCTGCAGATAGGGACGTACTCATTGACAGGAATGAGAAAATGGCCTGAGGGATAGAACACCACTCTGGGTTATACTCATGTGAGTATCTTTGTCTAGACTTGAAGATCTCCTGCTGTAACCTGTCGTATATGAGCTTGATGAAGAAATCTTGTTACTTGAGCTCAAAAAGGCCATTGACTCTCCAGCAACAAGGAGAACACTTTGAAAGAATGCTGAGCAACACAGCATAGAAAGTGCCACTTGCTGCCGGACATCCAAAACTGCCTGCTCCTCTGCTAGAGAAAAGGCTCTGACTCTACTGGAGAAGTATGACATAAACATCATCATGTTATAGAAGAATAATGGCAACCAAGGATTTCAAAACTATTGGGGCAACTCACTCCTCAATACCACTGTTTGTCAGAGTCGTTCTAATGAGGCTCCATTGACTAGTCAAAATAATATACCCAGAGACACAATGTGACTTAAGAGCAGGCAGATGCATGGCAGACAATATCTTCTTCCAGCAAGAGAAATACCGAGAGCATCCAAAAATGTTCTATCCATATATTGTGGATCTCTGTTTCTTCCACTGCAACAGTGACCACACTTAAACTATTTAATCAA